GTGAATTTCAAGGAAGGCCAGGCATTTCACATATCGCATTCTGTAATGATATTGTCGATGAAACTGGGTCGGATGGTGAGACCTAGGCGAGTTCGAACCTGCAGTCCACTACTGCCAGGATGTGAATATCTTTTGGTAAGCAAGGCTATGTGAATTTAGATAGAAAATTGTGGGGAAATTCAACTACCGGTCCGTCCTCACCTTAAACGGAATACAGGGAATGCAGCTCCTATATCAGTTCTACCGGTAACTTCGAAGACCCACTTATGAAACGACACGAGATAAAGTCGTCTAAACCGGAATAGCTTATCTCGAAGAGAGCAAAGCTCGAAAGTCTAAACAGAAACCAGCAAAGATTTGTCAAGAGGAATCCGCTTTAGTCTTCTTATGAAACCGACTTACTCACCTCCTTAGCGTTCATGAGTCGAAAATCGCTAGATCGCAATCACAACTTGCCATGTTTTGTGCATAATTCGCATGCTTGCTTCCAGAATATGCTCCGGAAGCGGTTGGAAACGGAGCTCAGGATTGGCTCAAATTGGGGCAGTAGAACACTTAGGAGTGAATTCGGTACCATATACTTTTCATACAGTTTATAGGTGTACGGGAGTTTCCAGTTTGTGGTGATATAGTCTGTCCACTTTCGCCTCCTCCCCTTCGGATCGGCAAAGTTGCACAGGTTATGTCGCAGGAGCGGATGCGACTGGGCAACGATATTCGTGTCCTTTGAAAGAGTTATTGTCGAGGTGGGAAGATGCCAAGTGTGATGAGCTAGCTATTCTGAACTGTTGTCTTGCTTTAAAAACCTTGTAAACAGCAAATACATTTTCTTTTTCCTTCACTTCGTACTAAACCTTGCTCACTTCCTTCAATTCAATTACCGGTACATTCGTTAGGATCGTCGTTTTCGCAACTACGAGTTGGTCTTTCATAACAACTACTTTTCATAAAATGCATTTTCTCTACCCTTCACTTCATACTTTGCCTTGGAGAGGTGTAGGGAGAAATTGAGCAGAATCTAGGGGAGCTGAGTAGAGTTGAGCATAACTGGCTAAAGAGGAGTGGAGTAAAGAGAAGTAACGACGAGTGCAAAACCATGGAGTATAGGGGATTGGAGTAGAATGGAGAAGAGTTGTGAAGGACGAAGTTGAGGGTTGTATAGTGGAGAGGAGTTGCGATAAGGCGTAATCGGGAGTGAGCACAAAGCTGAAAAGAGGCACCATTGGAGAGTGTGAAAAGTAAAGCACATGTTTTGGAGCAAAAGGTTTGATCAA